CCTTCTTGTGTAAAAGACAATAGATTGTCCTTTAACGTATCTAACGCTTTTAAATTTACTAATGTTTTCCATTTGTACTTCTTGTTTCCTTTCTTGTTCCAGTTGCCACCGCTGTAGTCTCTCTTCTTGTTTATTTTCTTTCTCCTCCAACAACTGCTGTAATTTCTCTTCTTGTTTATTTTCTTTCTCCTCCAATAGCAGTTGTAGTCTCTCTTCTTGTTTAGTTTCTTTCTCCTCCAACAAATGCTGTAATTTCTCTTCTTGTTTATTTTGCTGTTCGAGCTACCATTGTTGTAGGATTTCTTGCCACTGCTGTAATCTTTCTTCTTGTTTCTTTTCTCGTTCTTCTTGTTTCTTTTCTTTTTCATCTAACAACTGTTGTAATCTCTCTTCTTGTTTCATTTCTTTTTCCTCCAACAACTGCTGTAATCTCTCTTGTTTATTTTGCTGTTCGAGCTGCCATTGTTGTAGGTTTTCTTGCAGCTGCTGTTGTCTCTCTTCTTGTTTCTTTTTTCGTTCATTTTCTCGTTCTTCTTGTTTCTTTTGCTGCTCTTGTATTGCTGCCATCAAGTCTGCTAAGCTGTAGGTTGATTTTCCGCCTCTCATTGCCATTTGTTTTTTTCGTTCCACTTCTGACACCAATTTGTTACGTCTCCAGTCGTTAGTTAATTTTCCGTAACTTCGTTCCGACGAAACTTTAGCGACACAAGTCCTTTCTTAATAAAACTGGTTTATTCTTTCCGAATACAACTTTACGATACACTTAGTTACAACAGTCGCGCTATAACAAACGCTATATCTCACGCGGCCAACAATATTTTCTCTGACTGCAGTTCAATTACTCAATATTACACACACATTGTCCCGTCACGTTGTGAGCGTCTTATATATAAAACTGGTTTATTCTTTCCGAATACAACTTTACGATACACTTAGTTACAACAGTCGCGCTATAACAAACGCTATATCTCACGCGGCCAACAATATTTTCTCTGACTGCAGTTCAATTACTCAATACTACACACACATTGTCCCGTCACGTTGTGAGCGTCTTATATATATACCAGACTAACATATATCTAGTAAATGCTAGGGCATTCACGAAGGAACAGGATAGTTCTAGAAACGTGGCGTGACACTAGTCACGTGACCTCGCTGACGCAACAGTACTGTAGATATCGATACCTAATTTTAGCACGCTTGTTAACCCTCAAGTTTGTCGTCGAATCTCCGGAAGTAATTTCCTATTTAAGATGTTATTCACAAAACAATTACCATGTTCCCATACCTTCTGTATCAATGTATAACTATTTCAAATTACTGATTATTCAGTTTCAACACTATCATAGTTATCTAACATATATTTTTCTAGTCACTTTTGTTAGTTGACGTCCTCTGTCCACAAGGGTATTTCAGTGCTGTATCTAGATCTTGGGTTGAACTAGTTAAAGCTGGAATATCCCTTGCTGACCGAAATATAACGTCAACTTATAGCTAGCCAATTCTGTCAGGGAACAGAGGCCCCCAAATAGCATTGTCCACTGGACAAAGAAAGTGATGCTATGTTCCAAATACACGTGTGCTTTCTTTCTTCCGTTCTACTTTGCTTTTATCGTGACAATTTCAACAGATTCGTCTTGAGAGATGGAAAGCTAGCGAGCTATTTACTGATCCAGTAGAAGCAATAGTTTACTTGTTTGTTTGTTTTTGAATTTCGCGCAAAGCTACACGAGGGCTATCTGCACTAGCCGGCCCTAATTTAGCAGTGTAAGACTAGAGGGAAGGCAGCTAGTCATCACCACCCACCGCCAACTCTTGGGCTACTCTTTTACCAACGAATAGTGGGATTGACCGTCACATTATAACGCTCCCACGGCTGAAAGGGCGAGCATGTTTGGTGTGAGAGGGATGCGAACCCGTGACCCTCAGATTGCGAGTCGAGTGCCTTAACCACCTGGCCATGCCGGGCTAGTTTACTTGTCTATACAGGTATGTACACTGCTTTTTATCTTGTCTCTAAATGAAGATAGTTTTACTGTTATTTAAATTGTCTAATCTATTTATTTCTCGTGCAACTTAAAATTAATCTAAGTTATCGATCACAGAACACTGCCCTTATTTCTTAATTTAATCTGCTGTTACTTACGGGATTGCCTGTCTGATACTTGTTGGGAAATAAGTGTTACGTGAAAACATCACATAAGGTGATCTGAAATGAGAGATTACAATCTTGTTTTACATATGTGCGTACAATTCGATTTGAAAGAAATAATGCATTCAGACTTTTGTATTAACGTTTAATTCATAATCTTTTTCAATGAAAGAAGGATTGTTTGTTTTAGAGCAAAGCCTCATTGGGATATCTTGTGTACCCACTGCAGGAAATCGAATCGAACTCCGAATTTGGGCATTGTTAATTCTCAAACTTACCACTGTCCCACGAAAGAAGGAATAAGACATAGTGTAAGATTAATGACAGTGTGATGGCTTGATTTGATTGTTGTTAAGCATAAAGCTACACAATGGGCTATCTATGCTCTGCTCATCACGGGTGTCGAAACCCGATTGTTAAGGAGAAGTATAGGCACATTAAAAACGTATTACCGAAACTTTATCTTAAGAAATAGAGCATTAAATTTTGTTTCTTGATCCACTTTGCAAAATATTTAAGCATATGTGTTTGAAAAGTATAACGTATATTGAACATATTAAAGAGTATAAAAAGACTACTGTTAAAAGTTATTATTTAAAATTTAATAAATATTTTAATAATTTCCGCTATTACCCACTAATAGATGGCTAGCTTATTAAATATAATTATCGAGCTATACATATGTTTGTCTTTTTTGTGTGTTGTAAGTCTGTAAACTTACCTCTGATTCACAAGAGGACCATTTGTATGATGTACTAGAAGAAACATTCACTGTGCCCTGTACTTGAGTAAAATATGTTAAAATTTAACCATGAAGTCAGAATACATTTCGAAAACGACACCAAAAACGATTACAATAAAGGACCCGGCATGGCCAGGTGGTTAGGGCCCTCGACTCACAATCTGAGGGTCACGGGTTCGAATCCCTCTCACACCAAACATGCTCGCCCTTTCAGCCGTGGGGCGTTATAATGTGACGGTCAATCCAACTATTCGTTAGTAAAAGAGTAGCCCATGAGTTGGCAGTGGATGATGATGACTAGCTGCCTTCCCTCTAGTCTTTCAGTGATAAATTAGGAATGGCTAGCGCAGATAGCCCTCATGTAGCTTTGCACGAAATTCAAAACAAACCAAACAAACTTTCTGTTGCCCTAGTGAAGAACACCATCCTTATCAAAGTAATGGGAGTTCACCCAAACATGCCACGAGATCTCCCAGACAGCAAAGGCTCTGCTGTGGGCTAATAATCCCATGCTATGTCAGGGTTTGTGTTCCTCACAAGTATGTTGATGTGTAAGTTAGTGGCAAAATGAAAACTTTTACTACTTTCTGTTTGAATTTTGGTTGACTAACAATTCAGATAAATTCTATCTGGAAGAATTTTCACAAGCTTGAAAAATCTATAGGATCTCACCACTCACATATGGCAATATGATAATGGACTATAACTGTCAAAAGACAACCTTCGATCTATAATTTCGATCTGTATCAGTCACTAGTGTCGATATTCTCCCGTTTCTTTCCTACCAGACCTGGGCTCTCTTAGTTAGCAATCATTTGAAGGAGAAGGAGAACTTGTAAAATCTGAGAGTATTATTTTGAACGCTACATGTAATATTAGAATTCAAATTGTATAGATTATAACATGATCTCGATTTCTAATACATATACATATACAATGACTTGCCATAACTATTTGGATAACGTCTGAATATATGAAGAAGGAACTCAACAAGAATGAGTATAAATACATACATATACATTTGGACCTCAGAGGCAGCTGAAATTATGGTCGAGTTTGTGAACTGAAAATGCCTGAGTTAGCACGCAGTAGGGTACGTGTTATGGGCTGTATACATGTGATAACAAGTAGTCTATAAATACAGATTTCGACCCCACTTTTTCACTTTGTCCTGATAGGTATTCTGTTTTTGTCTATTTAAGATCAGCTCTTAATCCTACTGGCTATCTACATTCTTTGAACTGGCTAGTGATGATTTTAATATTTTCTGTTGCTGATACCCTCTCAGAATTGTTGACATGAAAGAAACTAGTGGTTAGTCTTTTCTCATTAACTTTAGCAATACTATGACTTCCATGTCTAGCGTTGGGCCTGCTTTCATGTCTTCAGAGTTGATGGATAAAGATGTATTGCTGGATAATGCATCAAATATGTGGGCTCTGGAGCTAGCAAATGTGGTTCTGGCCCTTCTGCACACCAGATTGCCTTAATACACAATCAGTTGTCTTACCTTTTATTATTCCACCAACGTCAGATGTTAAGGAGCTTGGGAAAATGAGTGTGGACGAGCCCATTAAGTCCAGTGTGCCAGCCATCTACCACTGCATTGCCCACATTGATGAGAAGGAAGTGTTAAAAATTCCTAAAAAGAATAATAAATGGCGCAAATTAGTGCATTGCAGGAAGAAAATAAAATGCCCAGATGAGGGATGCTTCATTAAAGAAACAATATATAACTTATGTGTGCACACTTTCAATGAGACCGCATGATTCAACATCTGAGTAGAAATTTCACAATAATAAAATGAGCGAATAAATAACTTAACTCTTGCATGATATGCCTATGATCTCTATAGTGTAAATAATTTCTTGTACATATGCTTAACTAGTTCCGAATATATATACAGGGTATCCCAAAACAATGTATACACACTATGAATGATTATAAATACAATGTTTATTAAGATATATTTAAGTTTTATAATTCAAGTTAAATAAGACAAGTGTAGAATCTTAAACTTTCTTTCTTTACAGGTGCAACTGATTTGAAGTAATGGCAGAAGCAAGACTAAGCTTTGAATAAAGGAAATTTATCCTAAAGTGCTACTGGAAGTGCGAGAACATAGCTGAAGTGCAAAGAAGGTAGTTAGAAGGTAGTTTTAAACAGATCCACCTACGCGACTCACCATTACTCGCATCAGAGATAAGTTTGAAGCAGATGAAACTGTTCAAGATGTCCATAAAGAGCGTTCCGGAAGACCGCGGTCGTCCACCAGTCCTACAAGAGAAGCAGAGCTGCTGGAAAGTCTCCACCGATCTCCAAGAAAATCTGTTTGACAAGCGGCTCATGAGACAGGAATCTCAAAATCGACCATCCATCGCATCTTGAAGCGCGTTCATTGGAAAAATTTTATTCCAGCATTAGTCCACGTCCTCAACAAAGATGATCCTGACGACCGGTAACGGAGTTAGGTAACGTTTACGGTAGTACGGTTACGGGTACCTTAGGAACG